ACAAGTGGATAGTGAGGCCAGTTCACAGAGACAGAATATTCAAAGCAACTGACTTTGAATAAATTTGTGTAAGCTTCAGTTGTAAATAAATTGAGTTGGAAATGTCTCTATAGTTTCAAAGCATAAATTGATATCTGGTGTGGTGTTTGTGAATAGGTCATGAGTGATAATTAGTTTAATAGACTGGTGTCCCTATATCCTGGTTATTCTTCACAGTGTTACTGAACACTAACCTTAGTAATTGAAGGAAGTAATGGCATTGTGAGAACTTTAAAAGCAAGTATGTCCACCTACCCTGTATAAGACAGGGGTGTCTAGTGGAGGAGCACAAACAAAAAGTTGAATGGACTGGGGCCAAATCTTTACAGTCACTTAGAGCTGTGGGTGGAGAAGGCAATGGCACCCCCACTCCAGTAGTCTTGCCTGAAAATCCCATGAACAGAGGAGCCTGGTGGGCTGCCGTCCATGGGGTCGCTAAGAGTCGGACACGACCGAAGCGACTTAGCAGCAGCAGAGCTGTGGGACTCAGGACTTCCACCAGGTCTTTGTTTTCCTCTTACTGTGTTATTCCACCATACCTACTTCCTAAAGTGGTAAGGATGAAAGGAGATAATGAATTTAAATTGCAGCACATTGCCAGGTTCACCATTGGTTGTCAATAAGATCTCCTTCCAACCCAACACACAAAAGGATGAGGCCCTGCAGAGAAGCTGCATGCTTCTTCCATGCACTTTAAAAGCATTGCTCAGCTAGGAGACACCTAAAACCTTTGCTCCCCGGCTATGGTGTAATCAGTGATGCAATACAGTGGTTATTGGGTGTGATCTAGGATGCCAGTGAAACAAGAAATTGGTGAACAAAGGTAAACACCAAAAAGGGCTAAATAAATTCCAGTATCAGAAGAGCAAGTGAACTAGAGAAAGGGAGAAGTGTAGGGAAAAGAAACACAGAAATATGAGTCATGTTAACAAATAGGATACAGATCAATTTCCCCCATGGAGAAATGTAATGGCTAAAGCAAAAGACATGATTTAAATACAAAGAAGGTTTTTCTGCTGGTAATCACACCTAGCAAGATATAAAATATATCAGCCTACAGTGTTGACATTTATAAATAGAGTAAGCATGTATATCAATGAGAACATTTAAATCTAGGTTTTTCAATCTTGTACAGTTTATTTAGATATGTTTCAAACTTCATCAAATTTTATCAGATAATGCATAAATTTCCCATATATAATTCTGTGATTAATATTACTAAGGTTAGGAAACAGATTTGAGTGCCTAAAATGCCTACAAGTCTAAATACCTATAATAAAAATCCTGCTAGAATACTGGAACCTGGTCTTATCTTTATGGGCATGTACTGAGAATGTGTGACTCTATTAGATTTAATAGCATTTTACTGAGTGTCCACAAATCACTACTGGAGTTGAGAAAATCCAACACAGTTCTCAGCCTATGGTAGGTCTTAGTAAATACTTGTTAGTAAAGTATGTAAACATGCTGAGAAAAACAATAGTAATTGCTCAGATATGTACTTTTTAAGCAATTTATTTTTATTTCATGTTGTGTTACTGCAGAAATTTGTACCTGGCATTTCATCTTCCACAGAGTAGCACTTGAACTATTATCTGGACTTTTTTAGTGGTTTTCATTATCCCCATCTGATTTTAGAGTGTTAGTGGTAATATAAAATTGGTACAACCTCTTTGGGGGAAAAATTGTTCATTAATTTTTTAAAAAACTAGTCTTTAAGCAATTCCATTTCTAGAAACTGATACCTGCAAAAGTGGAATGGACAAGGATAATCAAAGACACATTGTTTATAAACTGAAAAAATGGCAATAATTTAAATGTCCATGGGATGGACCTCATGAATTATGATGCATCCAGCCAACAGAATTCTTGGCAGCCATTAAAAATGAATGAGATAGTCTCTTTACTGCCACAGAAAGGCCTTCAAGGAATACTAAGTGAAAAGAGAAAGGTTGCATAATGGTATTAATAGTAATTAATATTTTGTTGCTCAGTTGCTAAGTTGTGTCTGATTCTTTGTAACCACACAGACTGCAGCATGCCAGGCTTCCCTGTCCTTCACCATCTCCCTGAGTTTGCTCAAACTCATGTCCATTGAGTTGGTGATGCCATCCAACCATTTCATCCTCTGTCGGCCCCTTCTCCTTCTGTCTTCAGTCTTACCAAGAATCAGGTCTTCTCTAATGAGTTGTCTCTTTGCATCAGGTGGCCAAAGTATTGGAGCTTCAGCTTCAGCATCAGTCCTTCCAATGAATATTCAGGACTGATTTCCTTTAGGATTGACTGGTTTGATCTCCTTGATTATTATTATTAGGAACACTTGTAAAGTGTGTACTATAATCTAAACATGTAACTTAACTCATTTAATTCTCATCATCACCCTAAGAGGTGGGTGCTGTTGTTATCCCCATTTTATAGGCAAAGGAACTGAAGCACCATATTGTCAAGTAACTTGCCCAAGGTCGCAAAACCAGCATCAGAAACAGTGTCTGGCTTGAGCATCAGTGTTTCTCACCTGATTCTCTCCATTTATGTTAAAAGATGTATAACAATACACATATGTAAATATATGTGCATGCATGTAAATGTATACATATGTGTGCAGGTGTGCATGTAAGCACAGAGAGTGGCTCTAAGTACACAGCCTTTGAACAGTTAGCAGTCACTTTCTCTGAGAAGCAGGTTGGGGTGAGAGGAAGAGAACATGTGATACAAGTCTCTTTTGCTTGTTTGCTTTTGTTATGAGGGACATTATTATTTTCAAAATAATTTTTTCACAAGGGATGTTTCTCAAAATATAGCTTCCCAAATATTTTTCTTCTACTGCCAGCAGTTAAGGAAGAAATTTGACCTTTTTTTTTTTTCTCATCATTTAAGTTATATCATTGATTCATTTAGCAAAAACATCCGAACAGTGCTAGGTATCCCTGCCTCACCCAGCCCCCAGGAGCTCACTGTGAAGTGGAACAAACTGTCAGGCAAACAGCTAATTCTAGAACCCCTATAAAAGGGGATGAACAAAGTTGCGGTGGGAGAAGCACAAGAGATGACATTTCTATGGAGGGCAAGGAGAGGCAGTATGAAAGAAGGCACCCAGAGAGGAGATAGTATTTTGCATAAATATTGAAGGAAAAGTAAAGAGTTCTTCAGGAGGCAGGGGAGGGAGAGGAAAAAGCATTCCAGATGGAGGGAATATGGGAGTAAGGATGGATAAATAGGCAACAGGAACCTATGATATTCTTCAGGGAACTGGGTGCAGTTAGCCAAAACTTAGGGAGGAACATGTGGGGAGGGCAGGAGCCACGTTACTTAAGCCCTTGTAGACCATGTTAAAAATTTCATCCTTGTGCTAGAGTTTACTAAGGAACATTCAAAGAACACAGGTGTTATCAGGATAATTTAAAACATACAGGTAAAAAGATGTTCATACAATGAATATTATCTAGTCTCAAACAGGAGGGTAATTCTGACACATGCTACACATGGATGAACCTTTAAAATACTGTGCTAAATGAAATGAAGATACAAAAGGACAAATGCTATATGATTCCACTGATATGAGGTACCTAGAATCATAAAATTTATAGAGACAGAAAATAGAATAGTGGTTACTAGAGGATGGAGGGAGGGAGCAATGGGGAGTTATTGTTTAGTAGTTTCATAATCTGTTAGAGATGATGTGAAAGTTCTAGAGAAGGGTAGCAGTAAGTGTTGTGCAACAATATACTTAACAGCACTGAATTATGTACTCAAAAAAAGTTAAACTGAACTGTGTACTCAAAAAAATTTAAACTATTAAATTTTATATTAAGCATATTTCACTGTATAAAAACCAGGTAAAGATGGTAAGTTTTGTGTTATGTAAATTTTACTATAATTTTTAAATGTGGAAAAAACTGAAAAGTTATAGACAAAATTTGGGGGTAAATAATTCAAAGTTACTTTTCTTTCTTGACATTAAAATTAGGTATGTCATTTCTTTGCTTAAGCTGGTAATAATGATTTGTTTCTCTTATATATGTCTACCATTTACTGGAAACTAGCTTTATATCCAGAGATGAGGCGATGCAAGCTTAGGGAGGTCAACTCACTGACCCATTTCTAGGAAACCTAGAATAGGAACTCAGCTCTTAATACCCTGCTCTTTTACCAATCCGCAAGACAATTGATTATCTTTCTACTTTTTGGATACCGCAATACTTTTCTTTAAACAATCTCCCTTGATCTGCAAATAAGACTGTATTGTATGGTGTTTTCTGGGTTCAGAAACCGTAAGAAATCCGAAGCAACGCAGAATGCCTCAAATAGCTGTTGAATGTTTACACTTGGTCCATATCTGATACTCTTAAAGAGCTTGGACCTTCTGCAAGACAGACCAAAAGAGCATTCAAGTTAGTCTAGACACAGGCACCTTGTTAACTACTGAGCCAACCACCTGTTACCTATTGGAGGCGGGTCTTTATTTATTTATTTTCCTCTTGCCGGAGTTATCTAGAATATACGGCTGTCAGTCCTTCAGCCGCCAGCCTCCGCATCCCAGGTACGCGGCCGCGGAGAGACCCGGAGCAGGCTAGCGCGCAGGCGCTATTCGGCTGCTTCTTTCCGCGACTGTGCTGTGCTGCCGGCAGTCCCGGTGTCCCAGAGTGGTTCCCCTAAGGTTCCTCTCCCTCTCGGTCCGGGACTCAGGGTCGCCAGTGCCCCTTCCCGGAGCCCTCTCCAGCCCGTGCCCAGGCCGAGCCAGAAGCGGGCCCTACCCTCTGACCCCGCGTTGCACAATGCCCGACCAAAGTCCCCGGGCGTGTGAACCCCAGTGTCCCTGCCCCTGGGCGGAGACAGGCGGCGGCGGCGCGGGGAGCCGAGGCGGCGAGCGCAACCGGTTTAGAGCACCGGCCCCGGCCCCGCGAGCTCTCCGCGAGCTGCCGCCGCAGACCCCTGCGCCGCTCGGGCCCGCTGCCCGCCGCTTCCCTCGCAGGCCCCGCCGCCGCAGCCATGGCGGAAGTTCATAGACGTCAGCATGCCCGGGTTAAAGGAGAAGCCCCCGCGAAATCCTCCACACACAGACATGAGGAGGAGCTGGGGATGGCGTCGGCCGAAACGCTGACCGTATTCCTGAAGCTGCTGGCCGCCGGCTTTTACGGCGTGAGCTCTTTCCTGATCGTGGTGGTCAACAAGAGCGTGCTCACCAACTACAGGTAGGGCCGAGGCGGTGGCGGCCCAGGCCGCGGAGAGGAGAGGAAAGGAGCGGGCGGTGGCAGCGGCTGGGCGCCGGCTCCCTGGACTTTGGCTGCAAAGTTGGAGCTGAACAAAGTTGGGCGGGAGCCGGGGAGGGCGGGCAGGCGGCTGACACGCGGCCGGGGCAGCGGAGCCGGCTTGCACGGCGGCCCGGTGTGGGGGTCCCGCTCCGAGCGCGAAGCTCGGGACCGCCGGGCGTGCGTTCGGAAAGCTCCTGCCCTGCCCGCGGTGCATCGCCCTGGAAACCCCGCTCTTCCGAGCGACGGAGCGAAGTTGCTTCGTGACTCTTCGACTCCTGTGCATGCCTGACTGGGAGCCGGAGAGGGCTGCCCGCCCTTCTTCACAGCCTGGGCCGGGGTCTGGGGCTTCAAGGTTCCCCGAATTCGCTGACAGCCTCTGGGGACCTACGCATCCTCAAGCCCATTTAAAAGTGTAATGCTGCCACTGGGACCCCTAGGCAGAAGTACCTTTTTAGAAGGGTGCGAAACCATTTAAAAGATGTTTGTCTTAACTTGCAAGAAAAATCCGTTGCGGAAAACTGACTGAAATTGTATAAACGAACAAGATGAGACAAGTGGCAGCCCGAAGCTACAAAATCAGCGGTGTTGCCTGACAACCATCAGTGATTTTCCTTACCGATTGTCATTTGAATAAGGGGCGGACGTTGGTGTGTTTTGTATCAAAATGCATTGTAAGGTTGCATTTGTAAGGTTGAGTTCGGGTTTTTCTGACGCTGTGTGTTTTTTTTTCCCCCTCTCTCTACCATTTTTGTAGGTTTCCCTCTTCACTTTGTGTTGGACTTGGCCAGGTTAGTTGGAATCTTCAGCATTACGTGGTTTGTGTCGTTGGAACTTCTGAGTGTGCCTTTATGTGTGGGACAGTGAATCTGTGTTCTCTGTTTACAGATGGTGGCTACAGTGGCAGTACTCTGGGTGGGAAAGGCACTCAGGGTGGTCAAGTTTCCTGACTTTGACAGAAATGTACCTCGAAAGGTAAAAAAAAAAAAAAATAATAGTAATACTTTATTTTCGAAATGAAGTCACTATGTATATTTTCCATCAGTGCCTTACATATTTAAAAATTGCAGCCTTGAAATTGCCCAGTCCAAAGTGGGTACAGGGAAGGTAAAGAATGATGTAGTAATAAGTGTTTTTAAAAAGTCCCACAATCTCTTTAAAGTTAAGAAAAAAAGAAGCCCCTAGATCTTGTATTCTGTTTTAATTAATAAACACTTGTTGGGATTACAGCCATTTTGCATTTTCTGCATTTGGCTATCTAATCTAGCTGGTGTATCCTGCAGTCATTATTCTTTGGGTTTATTTTCTTTTTCCTTGGTCTGTCTTTGCTTAACTCCACCTGAAGATGCAATACCTTTCCTTTTTCTGCTAACATTAGACCCATTGGCTCTACATTATCATTTTTTAAAGCAAAGATGTTGTCCTCTATGATTTGATCATATTCATATTTCTGTTTCTTTTTTTCCCTCCATTCTTCCCTCTCTCTTTCTGCACAGAGCTCTTTATCCAGGAGTAATGTTGTTTGGGTGCTTTATAGGAGCCAAAATTGTGTGTGAGAACTAATCTTACGTTTTATGTGGAAAGAATTTAATCATATAAACAAGACTGTTTCTGTTTGAAAAGGACCTTGTTGTAGCTGTCTTTATTATTGAGTTTTGTTATCCCTTTTTAAATTTTCTAGACGTTTCCACTACCTCTACTATATTTTGGGAACCAAATCACGGGACTGTTCAGCACAAAGAAACTGAAGTATGGATAACTTTATTTTACTAGTGAGGTTAATATAATGTATTCTTAAAATTGTACTTGAATGTCAAATGTTTTAACACATTGTTACTGATTCTGGAAAAAGAAAGGACCAGGAAGCTTCTGTTACTAAATAAATATTACACCAAAGGTTTTAGTTTAATCTCTTTAAGTTTGAAGAGGAAGAGGAGTTTTTTGTTTGTTTTGGGTTTTTTCCCTTTCACTTTGATGATAGAAGCTTTAAAATGTTATAAAATACTGTGATGGGAGATTTTCATTATTTTTCCAGACATATAATAGTGAAGGATATATGTTAGGCTTCTGAGATTTCAATTCTTTAGTGTAATTTTTAAATATTATATTTTAGGCACATTTCACAAGTAAGATTAGATGTAGCTTTTCATTAACATGAGGTAGTTAAAATAACATCTGATAGAACCCTGATAAAAATATTAATTTTTTTTCCATGGTCATATGACTGTAGAGGCAGCATTTTCACTTTTAGAAAGAAGCAATAGCTGTCGACTCCTTGACAGTACTTTCTTATTACCCTGTAACTTCCCAATTCTTGTCTTCTCCACTTAGGGAGTTTATGTATCAGGAACATGTGATGTTAAAAATATACACATAGGAAAACCATTTTACAGAAACCCAAGGTTTCACTGCTGCCATGTGAGTTAAACCTCTGGTGTAATGGGTGATTGTAAAACAGAATGGAGAGATCTCTGAGGGTCAGAGACCAAGGTTTTTTCATTTCCTCAGACCCAAGAAACTTGGCAGAATGATCACGATGATATTTCTGGGGAGGGTTCTATGGAAGTCATGTTTATCATGTGTGGGGCATCCTTTTATCCATACATCTCATTACCCATTTGGAAAGAAATACACACCTGCTGCAGAGTGCTACTTGTGTATAGAGTTTGCTCTTTTTCTTCCGTTGTCGGTCATCCATCCATCTATTCATGCCCCATCTTTGATTGCTAGCCAAGTATAAGGCACTTTGGAGTGAGGCGATAGAGTCAGAAATAATTACATTGCAAGAGGCTGTATGTTCGATTAGTGCAAGCAAAATACACTGGGAATTTAGAGGAAGAAAGAATTACTGCCACAAAAGGACAATCAAGGAGTGTTTTAAAATGATCACCAATGTTTGAAGGTTAGGGCTTGGAAGGGAGATCAGTCTAGAAAAGAAAGATCTTTTAAAGACCAACATGAGTATGTCTAACATAATAAGCTGGGTAAAATTAAAAAGTGACTGTTACTAATCTTTGATAACAGATGTATATTTTCTACCATTTTATAATTAGTTTTTTGCTTCTAGTAGTTTTATAAAAGCAACCCTTTGAGACTTTTAAATACTTTCTATAGAGAAGTAAGGATTTAATTTAGTGACAGATTAATCAGCATGGACTTTTTATAATGGAAAAGGTTAGCATTATTTTAAAATACTAATTTTGGAGAATCAAATTTTACTCTACCTAAGTATTTTTTTGTTTGTTTTTTTTCCAGCTTGCCAATGTTTACAGTTCTGAGAAGGTTCTCCATCCTGTTTACAATGTTTGCTGAAGGAGTTTTACTCAAGTGAGCTAAATTTCTAATATATTGAGTCTTTAACAAGTTTTTAGCTCCCTGAAAAGGTGTCCAGCATATGTAAGATATTCCAGTTGTTTGTGTTGTTTTACTTTATCTTTTGAGTTTAAGCAGCTTTCTTCCTTTGCCATAGGAATTAATAGTTTAGGACTTCCTTATGGAAGCCTGTTTGAACATGAGATATGCTTTCAAGAATTCCTATACCTACTGAAGCCACTGGGTGAAGCTGAGTCAGAAGTTCAGTATGGGTTTTAAATCATATTCATGACTACGCTGCTTTACTACAAATGTGTGTGACTATTTTCTGCCTAAAGAAATCTGATTTGCAAAAATTTAAACTCAATAATAATAACATAAGAATAGGAAATAAGCATACTTATTTATATAAGAAAATAAGTTTTTGCTTCATTAGAAGAGTTCTTTTAAATATCCAATTCCTTGGAATCATTTGTTTATAGTTTTTTTTGGAAGAAAACATATTTTTGTTGGAAAATGTGTCTTTGTAAATAACTAAAGCCACATGTATATTTTTAAATTATTTTATAGGAAGACTTTTTCTTGGGGTATTAAGATGACTGTATTTGCAATGATCATTGGAGCCTTTGTAGCTGCAAGGTAAGATGTGGGCCCGTATAAAACCTATGAGAGTGCATTAGAATTTGTCAGTACTTACTGATAATAAATGATTAATTACCAATGAAAAGAATTTTTTATAGACTAAATAAGAACCATGTCTTTGAAAGGTATTCAGAGACTTCAAAACGTTAAATCTTTTTGGTTGTATGAAGATTAAGGCTAGCAAAATCAGATTCTTGGGATTCTTAAAAGTTAAATTCATGTAATTTAGAGTTTATTATGCTGTCTTCTATTTATTGAGTGCATACCATATGCCATTCCATATGTTGGTATTTTACACATACTATTTATGTGTTTTTCACAACTACACTGAACGGTATGGGTATTATTTTCCTATTTATGTTAAGGAAATGAAAATCTAAGTTCTGTAACTTGCTCGAGGTCACATAGCTATTAAATGGCAGACCTGGAATTTGAGTCTGTGCTTGACTGCAGAGCCTGTGTTCTTTTATAAACCGTGTAGCATTCTTTTCCTTTGCATGCTGCTAAAGAAAATGTGTCGCAGAGAAGGCAAATGATTGTGAATTATTTGCCTTATGGGATAATAACAGAATTGCTTTATTTGGCTTCACGTAAGGAGTCACAAATGCCAAAACTTGGATATTCTATTAAATTATTAAAGCTTTTTTCCATTGTTCTTAAGTTTTAATTTTAAAATGAAGAAAATGTATATCCAGAGACTCAGAAAAATAGTACTCGCTTTGGCAGCACGTACACAAAGACCCAAAAAATGGAAATAATGAGTAGAAGTCTTCTATAACATTTTACTCAGCCCAGAGCATGCACGTATGGGTTTGCTAATGTTGCAGATTCTACCTGACATGTATTTTCCATCCGGGAGTTCCAGTGTGCTTCTTGATTTGGCTCATTGACCTTTATCATATCCCTGTAATACAGGTGCGTGTGTGGGAATATAAGTCAGTTCTGTTCCACCCTAACTCTCCCAGTTAAATTTCATTCTAAAAAAAAAAAGTAATTAGTTACTAGAATTTTGCTATATAGCTGACTGCTTTTCCCTCTAGGTAATCTTGCCTTCTTGGAGAAAAATTCTGTGTGAATCGCCTACCATTCTTTTTAAAATTGCCCTGCTAAGCTTGGATCCCACCGAAGCTGGTAGGATCCAAAATTGAACCAAACACAGGAGTTTCTCCGAGATAACTCTAACCTGCAAAAAGTTTCTGAGGCAGATTGCTGTCTGGCCCAGCCTTATCTCATTAGAACCTTTTACTTGGGAAAGAAATTTGGAGGAAGAGTTAGAGGGTTGTCAGGCTGCTTGGAAGAGGGAGTGGTCATTAGGTAGTTCTGCCCGACATTGCAGTGGCATAGAGCTGCTCAGAAGTCTGTCCCATGGAGTAGTTGAACTCCAAAGAGATGACACCTTTGCAGAATCACAGAATGTGGGGCCCCTGTTTTAGCTAGGGTGCTAAAGTATGCTGATGGCATATTCTTCTTAGATTTTCATTTATTCTCTTCAGTTTACTAAGTTCTTCTGCCTGGTGCTCTGTGAAATACTAAGAAACTTCAGTTTCCCTAGTCTCACTAGTTATATGTAGTAGGCTTACTGGGAAATTATTTTAAGTATTTGAGCCTACACTGTGTACTTAGACACTAGTGTAACATGATCTCAGAACTAACCGCAATCCACACTTCAGAAATTCCACCCAGTGGCCCAGCCATCTATGCAAGATAACCCTATCTTTTGTGTGAACCTTTGAAAAATGACATGTTAACAACTTCATTCTCCTTTTGGTTTCCTTATCTGTGAAATTGAGCTCTGATGCCTTCTGCTTGCTTCAGATGTACTGTAATGGTGAATTTGGTTGATTCTGTCTTGCCTGACTTTGAATTAAGAATAGTGTGCTATTAACTGACAAGGCTGATTATTTCTAATGACTGTGTTTAAGCATTAGTGCTTCTCATTTCTGCAGACTGCCTTACTGATTATGAAATTGCAAACTGTAACCTGGAGCCAGGAAATACTAGTAGCTGATAAAATGTGTAATATTCACTTACAGAGATAAGCATATGTTCTTGGAAATATTGTAGTTCAGATCTATTTAAAATTTAATGCATGTTCTTTAAATGTTAGTTGTTATTAAAGTGTTGTTTTTGTTTTGCAGCTCTGACTTGGCATTTGATCTGGAAGGTTATGTTTTTATTCTGATAAATGATGTCCTGACAGCAGCAAATGGTGCCTACGTAAAACAAAAATTAGATTCAAAAGTAGGTAGCAATCTAACGCTTCTTTAAGAGATGTTTATTGATACTGGGAATGGTCATGTCAGTCCTTCAGGGAAAAAGTGGAGAATAGAGGAAGATACTTAGGAAAGATGAGAAAGACTAGGGAATCTCTGAGGGTAAAATGCCTGGACCTTGGTGCTCATGTAAGAAACTTTATTTTCTAATTAGCAATTAGATTTTACTGTTGGCTTTTCTGGAAGGGACTGGGTGAATATTGACTTTGAGTGGGATAGTGATATAAGAAATGTTCATTAGAGAAAAATGTCATGAATATTCACGGCTATGTCCTGGAGGACTTGGTGAGGGACCTGGACAAGAGAGAAGTATCTGGAAGCCCTTGAGCAGATTTCAGAAGTGATTGAGAAGGAGCTGCAGAACAAGAATGGACTTTGCATATTTGTCCTGCATACAGTTGCCCCTCTGTATCTTTGGCAGACTGGTTCCAGGAACCCCTGTGATTACAAAAATCCTTGGATGCTCAAGTATCTTACATAAAATGGAATAGTATTTACATGTAACCTATGCACATCCTCCCATATACTTTAAATCATTTCTAAATTAACCTAGCAGATCTAGGGACAGTACAGATCTCTATTTCCAACAACTTTTCTTTGAACACACCTTTTATGTCTTTTTCTCCATTTATTTGCCTTGATGACTATGTGGTGGTTGCATTTTAATGGAAGCTACTATTAAAACTTTTTATCTTTGTACTATAGCTAGAGAAAAGGGAGCAGTTTGAGATTTAGTTTTGCTCTGTGTTTTTGCTGCTTTGGAAATAGGTAGGAATAATAACATTTTATTAGTCCACCAGCCTTAGCTGTCTAAAACAGTACTGTCCAGTACAATTCTGTAATGATGGAAATCTGTTATTTCTTCCTATCCGTTAATGGTAGCACCTAGCCACACATAGCTGTTGAGCACTTGAAACGTGATGGCCTAATTGAGGAACTGCAGTAGTAGTTTAGTGTAATTGTAATTAAATTGAAATAGCTGCATTTGGCCTGTGACTAACTGTGTTAGATAGCACAACCTAGAGTACAGCCTCAGTTCAGTTCAGTCACTCAGTCATGTCCTGACTCTTTGGACCGCGTGGACTCCATGGACCACAGCATGCCAGGCCTCCCTGTCCATCACCAGCTCCCAGAGTTTACTCAAACTCATGTCCATTGAGTCGGTGATGCCATCCAACCATCTCATCCTCTGTCATCCCCTTCTCCCGCCTTCAGTCTTTCCCAGCATCAGGGTCTTTTCACATGAGTCAGTTCTTTGCATCCAATGGCCAGAGTATTGGAGTTTTAGTTTCAGCATCAATCCTTCCAGTGAGTATTCAGGACTGATTCCCTTTAGGATGGACTGGTTGGATCTCCTTGCAGTCCAAGGGACTCTCAAGAGTCTTCTCCAACACCACCGTTCAAAAGCATCAATCCTTCAGTCCAACTCTCACATCCATACATGACTACTGGACTACATCCTAGAATGCAGAATAAAGCGAAGATGGTTTCTGTATTTTATTTTATTCCAAAGGGTGTCCTTTAGTTCCTCATTCAGAAATGACTTATGACTTACTTGTATTAGAACTTTTAAGCATATTGATCTGCTTTTCATAGTTCATGGATTAGGAGCAACAATCCCTTCTAGAGGAAGAGGCTTACCAGCAGTGTAAAAGGTTGGCTGATAACAGGAGAAACAGGAAAACTGTGACAGTCAGGTGGACGACTCAAAAATGGCAACATCATGTAAAAACACAGTATATAATGCATGTTTATGATGATGCCCTAAATTAAATTTTAGTCGATGTCCTCTGTTTAAGAGGACAGGAGAAAAGAGATTCAAAGCAGCAAGTAAAAAGAAAAAACAACAGTTTGGCCTTTGTCAGTTGTCTGGATGGGGTGTGTGTGTGTAGGCATCCTCTACTTCCTGGATAACACATCTCTTGCTGAGGGGGCACCTGGTGTTACATGCTGCTTTTCCCTACTATGGCTTTTTTCTTGCTGTCTTGCTGTCTGAGATGCTTTCAGTATATCTGGAGTTTTATTACCTATAATTTCAGAACTACTTGTAATCATGGTTCTTTGAGCATGAATCCCATGGCCTAAGGACTTAGTACTGTATTTCAGACCTGAATGCAGCTCCTGAATTTAAAACATTTTTAACTTTAAAGAATTCATACAAATAACATGTATTTATAATAGAAGTGGTAGAAAGCGTAGATAAACAAGAGGAAGAAAATATAAATCTCTCTTAATTCCACCATTGAGTGAGAAGCACTGTTTCGATAGATACCCTTTTGTAGGAATGTGTGTGTTTATATATGCATGTACACACTTAACTATGAGAAAAACTTAAAAGAGTGGTGATAAATAATGTTTTCTAATTTGTATTTTTCGTTTAGTACTGTTTCATGAACACCTTCCTTACCAGTGTTACTAACCATTTTTAGTGGCTGCATAACATTTCATTGTATGAGTGTATCATAGTCTAATCGACTAGTTTTCTATTGTTGCATCTTTGTTTCCAGTTTTTCAAAGCTGCTTTTGATAAAGCACAGGGAACTCTGCTCAATATTCTGTAATAACCTAAGTGGGAAAAGAATTTGAAAAAGGTATAACACGTATATGTATGACTGAATGACTTTGTGTACACCTGAAACTAAGGAACACAACATTGTTAATCGACTATATGCCAATATAAAATAAAAACTTTTAAAAAAATCACTGAAGAAAAAAAAATCTGCTTTTGAGAAGGTAGTATGACTTTTCATATCAGTTGGTGATCTTTCAATCCCAGAAGTTAGGCAGATATTATGGCCCTATCCTCACTACTCCTTTATCCCCTGAACTCTAGGACTGCTTTTTCAGGTGATGGCTTCCTGCTGAATGTCCCAGAACTGTGTGAATCACAGGTAGACCCAGCGTTCTCCTAGGTTCCCTGTGTTTGAAGATGTGTGCAGTCCTTTTTTGCTCCCAAGTAGCTGAGGGCACAGCTAATCATACCATGTTTTGGGAATTGTAGGGTAATGGTAATCTTTTTCTTTTTGTCTTCTTCTTTTTTTTTTTTTTTTGAGTAATCTTAATCTTCATTGTATTTCCCATGTACATTTTCAGAAATAACTTCAGAAATACTGGGAAGTTATGTCTGTCTATGTTGTTCTAGGTGTGAGTCTGTGTGTGTGGATCTGGCCTTCTCTCTTAAATCGCACTGTTATGTTTCTGGAACAGCCCAGGACTAACCTGGGGACTTTTGATAATGTTCTGGAAAGGGAAGGGCTCCAAGGACATGTCTCTATAGAGATGTATGCTTTTGTTCAAAATAACTTCTTTTCTCCTTGCTGTTTTGAGACAGCCACTTGATATCATTTTTATTTCTCTGATTTTAAGTACTCAAGGAACTTATGTCAAATAAACTAAAAATCTTGTAAGTTTGCTTTTTTATTTTTTGAAAGCTTAGGTTATTTCTTAGTGTTTGCAAAATTTTTGACTTAATGTGCTATGTATATTGTGGGGGGAGTGGTGTGTGTGTATAATGGGGGTGGTGCTCTGTTCAGGGTTGTCTCCATCTATCTGCTGGAACCAAATGAACCACCTAATTTTTTACTCTCCTAGGAGCTGGGAAAATATGGTCTGCTCTATTACAATGCACTGTTCATGATTCTGCCCACCCTGGCCATTGCATATTTTACGGGAGATGCCCAAAAGGTAAGACTTTCTAATTATGGCTTCAATCATGCCTTTTGTTTTGGAATTTTATTTTTATATGTATGACCAAAAGATAGACAGTTGGGTTGTTGAAAAGTAATGTTCTTATTAAGTGACCAAAAACCGAGAATTTACTTTTTAGCTTACTAATGTCATGCTAACCTTTTTGGATAGTAGTAAAATAGCTTAAAATAGCTCTGGCTGTCGACATAAAAATAGTGCATGCCGTCTATCGTCCTTCTCTTACATGCCAGAAGGTTAGAGGAAGGGAACTTTTACATTTCTGCTGAACTACAGAGTAGGAATAGTAGCAACTATCCTTGAAAAACAAAAAATCCTGTAGTAGAATTCATCAAACTTAAACAAAATGCTTGGCATCTCCAGAAGCTCTCTGTTTTGGTGACAGTTGTTATGCTGGCTTAAATCCCAGACTGTTTTTTTCCCCTCAGGAGATATTTAGCCCAGCGGTGACTTAACCACATAAATAGCAACTAATATAGTAGTTAACTCATTTTCTGCAAATGTCTAGCTAAATCCAGAATAATATAACAAACTAAATCCAGACAGGAATTTTTCTCTGAAACAAATGCATATTCATAGGATAAAAATTGGTAACATTTTGTTAAAATTCACAAAATTTTGAGAACTTAATGGAAATCTAGAATTCTGCCAAGGATTTCTGTACCAGAATTCCTTCTAATGATTCCCCTGGCTACTAGTTTCTTCAGAATAAATGTGTTGATTATTTATTCTAATGACAGTGACAAATTCCACAAATCAGTCAGAACCAAAGTAAAGCACAGGTTTTTGGAAATAGGCTGTTAAAAAAAAATCAGCTGTAGGAGAAGAGTGACTGCTTATAAAGCTATTTTTTTTTTAATCAAGAGCTCTTTCTCGTAAAACTGGCATAGAACATATGTAAATATTTTAATGAATAGAGTGTTGAATAAGTTTTTTTTGTGGCTGTGAAAAAAAGTGGGAAGAGAAACTAACATTTATTGAGTTTCTGTTATGTGCTACTCACTTTATGTATATATAATATAATATGGTCCCCAAGGATTCCCTGATCGCTCAGTTGGTAAAGAATCCACCTGCAATGCAGGAGACGCCGGTTCGATTCCTGGGTCGGGAAGATCCCCTGGAGGAGGGATAGGCTACCCACTCCAGTATTCTTGGGCTTCCCTTGTGGCTCAGCTGGTAAAGAATCCACCTGGAGTGGGGGAGACCTGGATTTGATCCCCTGGAGAAGAGAAAGGTTAACCCACTCCAGTATTCCAGGCACTGTATAGTCCATGGGGTTGCACACAGTTGGACACAACTGAGTGACTCACTTTATGGACCCTGTAACAGCTATGGGAAGTTTGAATTAACCCTATTTTTTAAAAAAGTTAAAATTTATTTTTATTTTATTTATTTGGCTGCATTAGGTCTTATTCAGTATATAAGATATACTGAATATATTCAGTCGGATATTCAGTATTAGTTATGGCATGCAGGATCTTTAGTTGCTGCATGTGGGATGTAGTTCCCTGACCAGAAATTAAGCCCAGGTCCCTTGCATTGGGAACTCAGAGTCTTAGCCACTGGACCACCAGGGAAGTCCCTGAATTAACCCTGTTTTATCAATGTGGAAATAGAAGTTCAGAGAGACTGAATAACTTGCCCAGCATCATACTGTCAGCGAGGTAGTAGAGTCAGGACTTAAACCCAAGCTTGACTGCAGGGACCATGGTCTTTTCAGTACTCTGCCTACTTCTAGCTAACCCGAGCAGAAGCACCCTCCACCCTTTAGCTTTGGGGCAAGAATGTAATGTAAAATAACTCGATACCTCATGGAAGTACAAATGTTCCAAATCTTCAGGCCAATTTGTACATGAGAAAGTTGGAAGAATTAATGTGGCTAGGTATTCTACATGAATGAAAATATGTAATTTTCATTAATTTGAAACTTTGACTAGTAGCTTGTAGCTACTTGAAAAAATTGACTGAAGGAGGTATTTCTTCATTCCAGAGTGATGATCATTTAACTAGAAGTTGCCTGCCAGGTTGTAGCAAAGTTCATGCATGTTTTGAAGTTCACTAACATACTTTCAATTTTATATGCTTCAATGTAAGTGTTTACTTATAGTGGAAAAAATGACTTTGCCACCTATATTGGGATGAGATTTAGATTTTACTCTTCTTTTTTAAGGCAGAGGAGTGGAATTTGAGTAATCTTTTTGTTTTTCTTAATAAAAATGCCAGGCAAAGGTCATGAAAGTTTTTTTTTGAAAGAATAATGTTTTTAAAGAATGACAGAGTTTATCTAAATGCTTTCAAGTTGGGATGATAAACTAATTAGGGAGACTGAACTCATTTGCTTTGTGATCAACCCCATCAGTGTTTTTGGGTTTCACATGTTTGTTCATCCTCATTCTTATTACCAATTACTATGATTCTTATAAAGTATTTATTGGAGTACAGATGGACCGACTGGCTGGCAGGCTTAAAATCTCATGCTCTTTTTCTTAACTTTCTCTCCTTCTAACATTCTCAGGTAGTTATTTAGTGCTGTTATGTGTCTCTGGACTCAGGTGATATGAAAGAAAGATGAATTAGGTGGTATTCTTGCCTCTGAGGATCATTTAGTTGTCTTGGGGAGCAGACCTGTCAGCATCAGAGTCATCAGTGTAATAGGTTCCGTGGGAGAACGTCGGGGGCATTGTGGGTTGGAAGATGTAAGTGGATCAATTCCACCTCCTTGCTGGAGAGGGAATGACTATCTTATGGAACTTTGCCTACAAACAGAATGAAAATACAAATGATATGAATAATCAGTACTCTTTGGTAGGTTTTGAATTAAATTTGGCACTTAGGAACTCCAAGAATTCTGATTTTGATTCTGTTTCTAAATTCCTTTGTTTCTAAATTTTTGTATGCTTATAACTACAATTTCAAATTCAGTTCAGATTCAGTCCAGTATTTCTGAGCATATTTCTTGTGCTGTGAAAGCCCTGTGCTAAGTTCTCTTGGGAATATGTGAGAACTACAACACAGTCTTTGCCACTCAAGGAAGACATTTGACATGCTGCAGAGGTGTGTAAGATCCAGCACCAAAGTGTGTGCCAGTCAGTCAGTACTATCAGTATTGTAGGAAGCAGCAGGTGTGGGTGAAATATCAAGCCTGGCTTGTTAGAGAAGATAGGGCTTGGTTTCCTGTTCCACCAACTGCAACAAGTAACACTGACCTGTTCTGTGAGTGTCATCATTAGAGGTACAACTTACAGAAATGGTTGAATGGTTTGCTTTTATTGATCAGCACAGAAGCACTGGGGGGAAGCCATAGATGCCTTAACATGTCCCAGAGGCTCATGGTATCCTACCAGAGGTTGCAGTTGATTCCTTCCACTGAAAGGTTCAGTTTCATAGTCAATGGACTGCTTGTCTGAAGTTCTGGCAAAAGGGTTCACATTACAGAGTAGAATACGTGGCAGGATTTCAAGTAAGTGTTTTCTCTTAAGTCCAGGTCATGTTCAGTGTGTGTCTTTTAGGTTGAGTTTCCCCTTCAATATATGTGTATGTGTAAGTGGGCAAACATTCATGTATGTGCATGTATTTTTTTTAAAAAGAGTGGACACTTTTTGGTGTGACAGTTTAGCTTTAAATAGAACTGTTCCATATTAACATATGGTGTTAATTACTGGAACATGGTGTTCAAGTAATACTTCACCTATAGGATATGGTGCTTTGTACCTGATAAGATGCTTCCGTGTTAATCATTTTTCCCTAATCTTCATTGTGTACCTGTGTGGTAGGTTGTTAATCTGGTTTGTAGAGGTTAAAGACACGCTTGAGGTTACCTGATGACAGAGTTTAGTACTAGAACCACTCTGCCTTTTGTTTGTTTGTTTGTTTGTTTGACCATACCATGCAACTTGAGGGATTTTAGTTTCCTGACCAGGGATCAAACCCGGGCCCCCTGAAGTGGAAGCGCAGAGTCCTAACCAGTGGACCACCAGGGAATTCCCTAAAACCAGTCTTTCTGACTCCAAGGAGATCACTTGCTGTTTGCCTGACCACATCTATCTCCCAAAGCCATTTGCTGACTCCCTGACTGACTTTGTCCCCTGTTCGGGACTATGCATACAGAACAAGTTATTGAATGGAAGAAATATCTCAGGTTAATATTAGAAGTGGAGTCTCTGCAGCTTGGCTTTGTTGTTAATTGTTTACAAATAATTACTTCATTCAACATATATTTATCGAATGCTTCTTATATGTCAGGTGCTGTTTTAAGTTAAAAACACATGCCGTTGCTTCAAAGGAGCTTACATTCCAATGGTGTAAGATAGACTACACATAAATTATATAGTAAGAGCTATAAAGAGAGATAAAACAAGGAAGAGAGTGATTAGAGAAGTACTATTTTGGATAAGATGATTAGGGAAAGCATCTTTATAAGCTTCGTTTGAGCAGACACTGAATGTTTGGACTCAGAGACCAGTTGGTGTGGCTCTTTAGGAGGAGTAGTCTAGGCCAAGTGTGCTAAGGGCTGAGGTAGGAGCTTATTCACAGGGTACGTTTTCTGAAGAGGTAAATACCAGGAGAAGTCAGAGTGGGCCTTGAAAGATGTAGAGGCAGAGAAACAAAAGGTACGTTCCAGGTGGAATTGACAATCTGAGCACAGACACAGCCCCAAGGACCAAAATCTTCTGTGTGCTTAGAAGGTGTTAGTCAAGGACTTTGGAGCTTTTAGCAGAGAGCCTTTAGAGAGCGTGTGGTTCCAGCCTCTTATCTCACAGATGAGGGAACTGGGGCCCAAAGAGGGCTCTGGACTAGACCCCAGATTTCCTGACTCTACAGCTAGTGTCTCCCTCTTCCTACCACACCACACCCCACTTCCTTCTAAGTTGGAACCAGTGCTAGGCACTGGAATTTGAAATTTATTATTTCGATAACGACATCCCTAAAAGTTTGTGACATAAGTGGTACAGCTGAGAGAGCTTGGGGCCAGAATGCAC